CGGAAATTAAGACCATGTTGTTGTTAAATGTTTCCTCATGAAAGCTTTAAATATTATCTAATTTCCTTTGGGCCGAAATGGAAGTGACTCGGTGCCCAATCTTTCACCAAGTTAATTCTCCTTTGTTTAAAAGTGTGAATGTTAATATTGGTAGTGTAGAAAGTCAGCACCCACCCTTCTCCTAGAATGAAATATTTTGAGAAATATTTTACAAAGCCCTCTTAACTCTGCAAACACAGGAACTGGTCACCCAAGTACCAGCGTCACTCAAGATGATCTAATCTTCATTTTTTTTCTTCCAGCTTTCCCATCTTGATTTTCCCTAATTTTCATTTCAGTCCCATTCTTTGTAGCATGGAACTTAACTTTTAAAAGATATATTGGTGGCCATCAACTTTTTTTTTTGTTGAGCACATATTAGATAATATATATATAAGTATATATTGTATACTTATATTTATTGTATATAATTGTATATATTTAATTGTATTCATTATATAATGAATACAATTAAAGGGAATGTTAGGACAGGGACGGTAGGTACGCTGGTGCTCTTATGCACGCCCCTTACAGACCTCTTAGGAATGGGGTGAGGTCAACAGTAGACAGTTTAAGGTTAAAATTTTGGGGGGGTTGGGATGAGACCACAGAGTCAGGTAGTGCATTCCAGACATTGTCCACTCTGTTGCTGAAGTCGTATTTTCTGCAATCGAGTTTGGAGCGGTTTACCTTAAGTTTGTATCTATTATGTATTATATTGTGTATTGTTGTGGTTGAAGCTGAAGTAGTCATTGACAAGTAGGGCATTGTAGCAGATGATTTTATGAGCTAAGCTTAGGTCAGACCGAAGGCGGCGTAGTTCTAAGTTTTCTAAACCCAGAATTTCAAGTCTGGTGGCATAAAGTATTTTCTTACGAGCAGAGGAGAGGATGACTCTTCTCGTGAAATATTTTTGGACTCTCTCAATTGTATTAATGTCCGTTATACAGTGTGGATTCCAGGCAGACGAGCTGTATTCAAGAATTGGTCCAGCAAATGTTTTGTATGCTCTGGTTAGTGGTGTAATATTACCGGAGAAGAAGCTACGCAAGATTAGGTACACAACTCTTAATGCCTTTTTGGCGATGTTGTTACAGTGCGCTTTGGCACTTAGATCATTTGATATTTGAACTTCGTGAGAATGACCTTGATCAGGAAACGGTCTACGGAGATTCTCAATCCATCCAGATTATGGTTGTCCCAAAGGTGCTTTTTCAAAAGGCCACTGGACTTTCTTGGAAACATTTCACTTTTTATTCTTCTTCAGCTTCTTGGATGAGAAGCGAAACGTTTTCAAGGAAAAGAATCCCCAAGAAAGTCTAGTTGCTTTTTTGGAAAAGCACTTTTGGGAATTGGTCAGGCAAGGGGTAGTTGTGTCCACAAAAGGAATGGGAACATGGCAAACATCTCAGATAACTGTACAGGTAGACCTTGGCTTGCAACAGTTCATAAATCTTCTAAAATAAATTAAAAAAAAATAAACATTTAGTGACTGTTCCAAGTTACAATGGCCCTGAAAAAAGTGACTTATTATGACCATTTTTCACACAACCATTTCAGCATCCCCGCGGTCACGTGATCAAAATTCAGACGCTGGGCAAGTGACTCATATTTATGACGGTTGCGGTGTTCCAGGACCATGTTTTGGTGACCTTCTGACAAGCAAAGTCAATGGAAGAATCCAGATTCACTTAACGACCGTGTTACTAATTTTTTTTTAATTTTTTTTTTTAATTTGATTTATATGCTGCCCTTCTCCGGAGACTCAGGGCGGCTTACAATGCGTTAAGCAATAGCCTTCATCCTTTTTGTATGTTTATACAAAGTCAGCTTATTGCCCCCACAAACTGGGTCCTCATTTCACCTACCTTAGAAAGGATGGAAGGCTGAGTCAACCTTGAGCCTGGCGAGATTCGAACCTGCAGTAATTGCAGGCAGCTGGTCTTAATAACAGGGTGCTTTAGACCACTGTACTACCAAGGCTTCTATTTAATTTAATTTAATTTAAATACCTGCAGTGAATCACTTTAACAAGAAAGGTCGTAAAAACGGGGCAAAGCTCACTTATCAAATGTCTCGTTTAACGACGGAAATGGTGGGCTCCATTGCGGTCGTAAGACGAGGACTACCTGTATACGCAAAGGAAGTGGGGAAGAGATATACACTTGCAGCATTCTGTTAATGTAACCTTACAATACAGTGAGTCCTTTTGGATGTGCTTCTTGTTCTGAACTATCTCGCAAGGCTGATGCAACCCTGGGAGAAATTTCGTAAAGGCAATTTTCCAAGCATCCCCAGAAAAATTATCACGAGACGGTTCTGGCAACAGAAGGATATTTATTCTATTGAAATCACAGGCGATGCTATTGCTTCGGTACGAGGTCAACATGACTAGCTTACTCTGGATTTGCAGGCCGTCGTCATACCACGTCGACTTGGGCTTGAGATGAAATGAGAATTCACAGCATTGTTGCTACAATACACCTTAGCTCAGGGGTCTGCAACCTTAAACACTCAAAGAGCCATTTGGACCTGTTTCCCACCAAAAAGAAAACACCGGGAGCCACAAAACCCTTCCTGTGTCTCACTATTTCTTGGGCGGCCACAAAATTAGCCTTTGTAGTTGAATTAAATATTCTCTTTTCTTCTGAAACTTTTCTTTTCTTGGATTTATCCATGGTTGGCCTACCAGGGGTTGAAAAGTTCCATAAATTGCGTGCTGGTGGGTGTCGCACATTGGTGGTTGGGACACATATTTTGAGTGCCAGGGAGCCTCAGCAGAGGGGTGAAAGAGCCACACGTGGCTCCAGAGCTGCAGGTTGCTGACCTCTGCTTTAGCTGAAAGGATCCGACAGGTAAGGAGGGCATTGGGCCCCAGAAAGGGCTCTGTTTCTTATCACGCAGGGCAATTTCTGGGCTTCCTACCTTCCAGGGCTACTCACTGGAGTAAGAGAGCTGTGGCCGCATCCTCAAGATCCATAATGTCAGAACTGCCACCTCACATCCGTCATTCGGTACTAGACTGCCATGAACCCATGTGTGCAGGGGTGGGATTCAGCCGGTTCGGATCAGTTCGGGCAAACCGGATGTTAATTTTAATCTGGTTCGCCGAACCGGTTGTTCCAAGGACTGGATGACCCTGCCCACTCCACCCCGCGTCTCCCAGGAGTCTCCACGCAGCCCATTTTGGATGCCAGGTAAGTGCAGGGCGTGCACAGAGACTCGGGGAGGGCAAAAAATGGGCCTACCGGAAGAACCGGAAGTCCAGAAATGAGCCCATTTCCGGCCTCTGGAGGGGCTCTGGTGTCCTGGGGAGGCTGTTTTCATCCTCCTGGAGGCTCAAGGAAAGCCTCCAGAGCCTGGGGAGGGCAAAAACACCCACCCACCCCGCCGTGGTGCAGGAGGCTGAGTAGGCCATGCCCCCATGGCCACGCCCACTCAGCAACTGGGCAGCGAACTGGTTGCTGAAATTTTTCAATCCCACCCTTGCATATTTGTGTGTGTGAGAGACAGAGAGGGAGGGGGGAGGGGAAGTGCTTCGGGGGATAAGTTAAAGTTACACAGTGAAAGTGCTACTCCAAGATACCGTTTCAAGGTCGCCTTGGGATGAGAAGAACGCAACTGTGAGCCAGCCTCAGAGTGGCTATTAAACATATATATATATACAGTATATATACATATATTTGGAGATTGATTTGATGATGGGTTGGAGAAGCAATGGGAATTGCCTAACCCGGGAAAGGTTTTTTCACTTGGGGAATTGGCACGCAAATTTCACTTCTGGCTTTGCTTTACAAGTGGTCTTAAAATGTTCAAAGTTCAAAGTTACCACGGCACTGACTTATGACCTTTGCCTCATCCCGCCCCCATGATCATGTGATCAAGAGGCTTTAGAACGGCTGCAGAGTTCCCCGGTCCTGTAAACACCCTTTGCGATCTTTTGACAAAGCCAATGGGAAATCAAGATGCGTTTAACAACCGGGTTACTAACTTATCAACTGCGGTGCAGGGGCAGGGAAGGTCGTAAAATGGAGCAAAACTCATTTAACAAACATTGGATTTAAGAACACAAATTTTGGGCTTTAGTGAACTAAATGAACCGTCGTAAGTCGAAGACTACCTGTATCAACTATTTACTTCACTGGTTCCTTCGCTCTTTGGTAGGCTCCATGTACAACTGTGTACCTAGTTCTAAAGAGCTTATGTGAGCCTACATCTGGACAACCTCCAGATGTGTGGACTTCAACTCCAGGCACATCTGGAAAGTGCTCAGGTTGGGCTATCCTACCTTAATACAGGTAGCGTATCCTGTAGTAGACGTGGTAGAGGAAAAAGCAGGCCATCATATGCTTCAACTTGAAGCCTAGGAGGCAGGGGTGAAATCCAGCAGTTTCTGACAGGTTCTGGAGAACCGGTAGCAGAAATTTTGAGCAGTTTGGAGAACCGGTAGTGGAAATTTTGAGCAGTTCGGAGAACCGGCAAATACCACCTCTGGCTGGTCCCAGAGTGAGGTGGGAATGGAGATTTTTGCAATATCCTTCCTCCAGGAGTTGGGAGGGAATGGGGATTTTGCAGTATCCTTCCCCTGCCATGCCCACCAAGCCATGCCCACCAAGCCACGCCACGCCCACCAAGCCACACCCACAGAACCGGTAGTAAAAAAAATTTGGATTTCACCACTGCTAAGAGGTCAGAAAACGGCGGCGCCCAAGATTGCAACCCAGAAATTGTGACATATTGGGGTCCCCCATCATTTTTACACAACTGTTTTTCAGCAGCACAGAAACCGGGATGCTACAGGAAACAGAACACTGAATGCAATGGGGCCTTTTGTCAAATCCAGCAGGCCCGATATTTTTCAAGCTATCAACCAAGCAGAAAAAGTTTGCTACAGTCTCGCCAGCTATTCTGCAAAAAATAATGATCTGCGGTCTGCGTGCGGTGTTAAATACTTGCGACAATTGGAGATAGCGGGTTTATTACAAATTTGAACTGTCCGATACGTGGGGATATATACATTTATCCTTACAGAATTCCTTAATAGTCCTCTTGGGATCTTCTAGATTTTACCCAAGGGATTCTGACGAACGTGGCCAGTGCCACCTATACACGTCTTACACACAGATTGCCCGTTGACCTTCATTTATCTTGACACTCTCACTTTCACACGGGCTTTTATGAACTGCCTTTGAAGACTTCAATAAGCACGGTGAGTTCACGTCAAGGACATCCATCCCAAATGCCAACACAGAACAGTGGAGTTCCAAACACTTAATATTTCCTTAGCCTGCATGATAAATAGAATGGATTTCATTGGAATCTGTCTTTGGGCACATAATGTTCTTTAGATGTTCCTCTCACGCCACTATTCTTTCAGAAGTCCCAGTTTTCGTAGAGCCTCCCTCCGGGCTTCTTCTGTTGATCCACGGCCGGAAAATTGTACCGTGACACCTTTGGATTGGAGACCTGCAGATTTGGGTAATGAGCTCAATTTTCTCTGCATGTCAAGGATGAGGTCTTGTTGGGGTTGTCCAGAAATACTTGACCAGGCAGACTTGCCATCCACAAGATCAGCATCTAGCTTGACAGACATTGTTTTGTTCAGGGTGGGTAACAAATTGGGATTCCTTTTCATGATTTCATGGATGTTTTGATAACCATTTGGTGCGCCGCATCCTTGTTCAGGTCTCTCCTCCTTTGCGGAAAGGACGTGGAGAGGGTGGATGAGGTGGGCCCGAGCAAGAGTTTTCTCAACCAAGCTTAAACTACTCAAGGGTTCATGGCCCGTGGACTCAGAAGGTAAATCTCGTAAAGGCAAGCTTTGGCTGGGATCCAGAAACCCACGCTTCTTCAGTCTCTCTTCCAACTCATTCATTAGCAAGGCGGAAGCGTTGACGTTGGCCAACACTTGGGCCTTGCGCTCTTGAACGTTGACGGCTGCCTTGGAGATGATTTTGCTGAATTCCCGCTCGCTGGCGTTGGTGAAGCTGATGTTGCTCGGGAACCTCTGGGGTTTGGGAGCAGTTGGAGGTGGGGCACAAGTCTTGACCTGCTCCCAACTGCACAGGGTGGAGGAAGTGGAGAGGGTCCTCCTCTTGTTGGGGTTCCTTTCCTTTGGAGAGGGAAGCAAGGAAGAACTGCCTTCTGCCTTCTGCTCAGACAATTTCTCGGCAATCAGAAGCGGTGTGGGGATGGAGTGAAGGAGCTTCGGATGCAGTACAGCAGGCTGAACAGAATGTGTCTCATACACTGGCAACGGGGGTGGTGGAGGCAACGTTGGCTGAAGAGAAGCTGGATTAACATGGACATCTTCCTCTGATGGTTCAGCATCTTCCAGCTTTGGCTCATCTGGCTTCCAAGTTTCCTCTGATGCTAGGAAGAAAAAGAAAACAACCTATTGGTGTTGTGACCTAGGCCCAAGTAGTTATTACCAGACACAATCAGTCCTAAAGAAATAGATTTTATTAGAACAGCTGAGAATTACTTCATTCTCAGCTTAGTCCAAATTAATTCCAAAACAAGTCCTTCATAAAAAGTCCTTTGGCCTTATCACCAACCTTTGTCTTCTTTGGCAAAGCCCCACGAAGTTCAGGAACAAGAGATGCCAACAAGAAAGTAATGTAGCAATGTTGCTTTCCTACAAAGAGCCCAAGAGCCATTGCTGCTCTTTTAAGCCTTATGGGAGGGGCCAATCATCTCCTGGCCTTACTCCTGAGTCGTCCTTTTTACTTTAGCTGCTCTTGCCTTCTGGCAGCTCTGTGCATGCGTGCACTAGGAACAGGCTCCTCCTGTTCCTCTGCCTCTCTGCTGTCCGCCTCTGGAGGCTCCGGAGTCTGCGCATCGCTCCCAGATGGCCCTAATGACCGGCTAGCTGGGCGTGGCCATGGTGGGCATGGCTAGGGGGTGTGACAGGCAGCACTTGGCCTCCTGCACCCTCCTGGGAGCAAAAGCGGGCCGCCGGGAAGGGGGGAAACACCCCGCCCACCATTTTGTGCCTAGTAGGCCTCCCTACAGCCCAGTGGTGGGTTCCAACTGGTGTTACCACCGGTTCTCTTCATGCACATGCTTTGCGTGCGATCGCAACGCACGTGCTCGCTTCTCTCGCACGTACGCTGAACTTGCGCTCCGCGCAAGCACATTAGGTTTCTGCCCAGCTGAGGTGCGGCAATCCACTCTGCCGCGCCTATCAGCTGGGCTAAAAAACGAGAAATAAAAGTAAGTTTAATGTGGGGGCGGGCGGGAGGGCCCAGCTCCCAGTCAAAGGGAACCGGTTCGGTGATGTCACATCATCACTACTACCGGATCGCCCGAACCTGCCTGAACCGGGAGCAACCCACCACTGCTACAGCCTCCTGGGAGCGAAAACAGGATGTGGGAGGCCCTGCCGCACCTCCCCGCGCCCCTTTTTGACCCTAGTAGGCCTCCCTGCACTTACCTGGGAGGTAAAATGGGGCGCGTGGAGACAAAATGGGGCCGGGCCAGCCAGCAATTTAACTACCGGTTCGCCTGAACCAGCCTGAACCGGCTGAATCCCACCACTGGATGTTACCTAGTTTGAGTAATGAAAGTCTGCAAGAAAACAGCCAAGTTTCAAAATGCCCCAGGACCCCTCTAACTGGACAATCTTAGTCCTTGGAAGACAACCTCTTTAGTTCCCAGAACACAAATTCACACCTGTGCAAATAATTTCACTTTACCTGGTTCTGTGCTGTTCTCTGGTGCTGACGGGACCAATTCTATGAGCTCTTCAGACCCTGGATGGTCAGGTGTGTTTTCTTCCACCAGCTTTGGAGAATTGCAGAAGACCCCACTGTCATGCAAACCTTCTTCCTCCACATCATCATCCAAAGAATCAATAGTTTCTTCGAAAAACAGTAGGACATCCTTTTCTTCATGAGTTAGATCTTTCAGCCGTTCATCTTCGTCCTAAGATTTAACCACAAAGGCAAACTCAGGTTTTTGTATACGAGAAGGTACAGGGAGTCCTCGACTTACAACGGTTCATTTAGTGACCTTTCAAAGTTACAACAGCACCAGCAGTGGGTTTCACATTATGTTACTACTGGTTCGCCGTGCGCGCACACCAGGGGTGGGTTGCCCCTGGTTCAGACTGGTTCACAAGAACCGGTAGTAAAACCGGCAGGAGGCTCCGCTCACTGACCCGGATGTCATAGGTGATCTGCGCATGTGCAGAAGAGCGCGCAGGCGCAATGCGAACCAGTAGTAAAGGTAAGTAGAACCCACCCCTGGCGCATGCGCCTGGTTCACACACATCCCGGCCTTCCACGCATGTGCTTTGTTCATGCACATGCCTTTCGCGCATGCACCCAGCATCAAAAATGTGCCTAAATAGGATGGCATAGAGCCGGGGCGGGTGGGCAGGTCCACCTACGATTTCCGCTACCGGTTCGGGTGAATTGGTCTGAACCGGCTGAATACCACCTCTGAACAGCACTGGAAAAAAAGTGATTTATGCCTGTTTTTCACCTTTACGACCACTGCAGCATCCTCATGTCACATGATCAAAGTCTGAATGCTTGCCAATTGGTTCGTATTTATGACGGTTGCAGTGTCTCTGGGTCATGTGATCCCCTTTTGCAAACCTTGCAAAGTCAATGGGGAAGCCAGATTCACTTAACAACCGTGTTACCGACTTAAGAACTGCATTGATTCACTTTAAACAAACTGTGGTACAACGGGGCAACATTCACTGAACATGCGTTTCACTTCGCAACAGAAATTTTGGGCTCAGTTGTGGTCATTTAGGTTTAGGTTTTATTGAATTTGTATACCGCCCTACTCCCGAAGGACTCAGGGCGGTGAACAGGCCCAGGATAAAATACAGAAATACAGAAGTTAAAAACAATTTAAAACCAAATTAAATAATTTAGCCCACGACAATTTAAAATCCCAATAAATTTAAAACAAATTAAAACTCCAATTTAAAATTTAAAAGAAAGGGGAGAAAAAAAAATAGGCCAGGCCGGCTTGCTGGAATAAGAGGGTCTTTAGAGCACGGCGGAAGGGTTGCAGATCCGGGATCCTCCGGGATTGTAAGTCGTAAGTCGTAAGTCAAGGACCCCCTGTATACTTTTCCAATGAACTTTATAGATGAGAAGGTATACTTTTCCAATGATTTTCAAATCATTATTAATGAAAGCAACAGTTTTTAACCAAAAAAGCCAGAAATCAAAAATTACCAGAATAATAAAATAAAATGGTCAGGATAAGAACAGAAATACATGCAAATGTTAAGCACCCGTAGGCTATATTACACGAGGAGAAAACTATATATAGGTAGATTCTTCACACAGTGCGGATTTCATCCTTAGAGATGGCAATGTGCTCATCTTCTTGGATGACTTTAAAAAGGGAGCAGACAAATTTCATGGAAGGTGAACTCATCGAGGCGGTAGTAGTACCAATGCCAACTTGATACTTCTCAACACCGTTGGATTTTCACACAAGCCAGACTAGGCGAAAAGAAAGTTGATGATTCAACTTCTTAGGGAAGCCACCTGTGATCTTTGCACGTTGCGTGAACCGGGGCCGTCGTATTAAACCATTAACTGGGTTTTGTTCTTGAATGTAGTGTGTTATGCAAAATCAAATCAAGTGAAATGGAATTAAAGGGATGAGGAAATGCTAGTGGTGCTCATTTCTGTTAGGGTCTGGCTCAGGGGTGGGTTCTAAATTTTTTTTACTACCGGTTTTGTGGGCGTGGCTTATTTTGTGGGTGTGGCTTGGAGGTCATGTGACTAGGTGGGCGTGGCTAGCTGGGCAGAGTCATTTCTGGAAGGTCCTCGCACTTACGACCAAGTCCTCGCACTTACGACCCAACTCATTTGTTTGCTTTTAACACTGATCAGCTGTAGGGCAGCCCTTTGAAGGCCCGCGGCAAGAGTTTAAACGGTTTTTTTCCCCTCTAGTCATCAGCTGGGACTCTGGAGGCAGCAATAGATTGGGGGTGGGGCCAAATAAAAGGTAAGAATAATGTGCAGGGGGTGGGGGGGTGGGAGGATGGGGGGGAGAACCGGTTCGGTGACGTCATATCATCACTGCTACCGGCTCGGCCGAACCGGACCGAACCGGGAGGAACCCACCACTGGGCTGGCTCCATAAACCCAGAAAGACATATTGTGATTCTTCCAAGCTTTATTGTTCCTCACCCACAGACAGAATCTTGCCAAACTAAAGCATGCGTCCATTTGGGAGGAGCTCTCTTCACCCTCATTCTCTCACACAAACTACCTGACCTAGGCTTCCCCAAACCACAAAGCAGACTCCTTGTCCTGACAAAAACCTCTTTCTATTAAGTTACTGTGAATTCTTCTCATTCATATCCAGCAAAGACTTTCAAGGGTGAATTTACAGTCACAGACCTTATCTGGCTTGGGGAGCTGCCAGGCCGCTATCTTCAAAACTTGGCAGGATGTCTCAGAGTCAGGAACCAATTAAGCAAACTAATTGTCTCCTGCAAACTCCACTCCCCTTTCGCTCCTCTTTTATTCCCTCTGGGAGGGGCCATTTATCGTCCACCTGTGGCCTTACTCCCAAGTCGACCCTTGTTCTTTAGCTGTTTTCTTCCTCTGGCAACTCTGCGCATGCGCACCCTGGGAACAGGCTCCAGCTGTTCTTCTGCCCCACTGATGTCTGACTCCGAAGGCAGCTGATAACTGGCATGCGGCCCTGGCCTCCTCTCTGCCTCTGACACAGAGCCCTCATCAGAGCCTTCCCCAGACTCCAGGACTGGCCCATGTTCCTCCCCAACCTCCTCACTGTTCGAATCTGCTGCCAACTCTGCTGGCGGGCCACAACACTCTTACTTACTTACTTACTTTATTTGATTTATATACCGCCCTACTCCTGAAGGACTCAGGGCGGTGAACAGCCAAACAGTAAAAATACATAGATACAAAATTTAAAAACAAAGTAAAATCGAATTAAACAATTTGGCCCAGACAGATTAAAACACCCCAATCATTTAAAACCGATTAAAATTTACATAATTAAAAAAAGGGAAAAGATTAGGCCAGGCCCGCCTGGTGGAATAAAAAGGTCTTAAGAGTGCAGCGGAAGATTCGCAGATCCAGGATCCTCCGTATCTCCGGGGGAAGCTCATTCCAGATCGTAGGTGCCCCCACAGAGAAGGCCCTACCCCAGGGGCTGCCAGTCGACATTGTTTGGCTGACGGCACCCGGAGTAGCCCCTCTGTATGAGAGTGTACCGGCCGGTGGGAGGCTATTGGTGGTAGTAGACGGTCCCGTAGATGACCAGGTCCTAAGCCATGGAGCGCTCTAAAGATGGTAACTCTGGCATGCAGCCCCTCCCTCTTGGGAATCCAGACTACATTCCATCACACTTTCCGGGCTTCTCAGAAGGATTTGCTTAGTGATCGTGTGACTAATAAGATCGATTAAGGAAGCCTCTGGCCTGATTTTGTAGAATGTTTCTTAACGTTACTTAAATAATGATCTCCTGCTAGTTTTCCCATGCATGCTGCAAGTTTTTTTTCCCACTAGTCTATTAGATCATTCTGTTTTTTCCCCCAAAGTAGCTATTCTCCAAAAAAACTTCAATTTCCAGAAATTCTCCCCCCCATCATGGCCATTCTAAACATTTTGAAATCAGAAGACCACATATTGGGAAGGTTCCAAACTGGGAGAGGTTGATTTGACCTCGTAATAGAGATGTTCCATTGGCTGCTACTGAAAGGAAACTGCAATACATTTGAATTTGTACTGTAATTTTATTTTATTTATTTATTTTTGAGATGGGAGGGGAGGGGAGAAGGCAACTTCTCTCACCTGTCTCAGTCAAATTACTGAGACAATTTATCACCAGAAATCGCTTACTTGCTGCTGAAACAGTAGTCCACAGCAACTTGCTAAGTGCTGCGCACAATTATATTGTTTCCGCCCTGCCTTAAAACTCATACAAATAAAGCCCTTCACACAATTTATCCAAGCACAACATCCAAAAGAGCAACTTAATTATAGAATTACAAGACTGGATGAACCAGCTTTTTCGTCTTGGCAGGAGCGATTTGAGCCAAAGCACCCAGAAATAACCAACACGTCCCAAGCAAAGGCTTAAAAGCAATTTTAAGAAGACTTCAAGAAGAAGAGGCCGATGAAGCAGCTTAGAACCACCTCCTGTTTTGCAGAAGGATAAGGATGTTGAAGACCTAGAACTACCCAATTTCGAGGGTGGCAGCCCAGAACCACAGGATGAAGGGATAGATCTATACAATCTAAATGACATCTGTTTATTTGAAGAATGCAGATAATGCCCACAGCCCAGAACCACCAATTTTATAGAGAAATGGGGACCCTATCCCAGGGGTGAAATGCTCCCGGTTCGGACCAGATCGCCTGATCCGGTAGCGATGGCGGCAGGTGGTTCGGAGAACCGGTAACAAAAATCCCTGCGCCCCCCACCCCCATGCCCATCTGAGCCACACGATCATCAGAGGCTTTTTTTCTTTAACTTTTAAAAGCATTTTTTCTACAATCTCTTCCGACGAAAAAATGCTTTTAAAAGTAAAAAAAAAAAAAGCCTCTGATGATCACGCGGCTCAGCTGGGATCGTCAGAGGCTTTTCAAAGCATTTTTTTCTGCAACCTCTTTTACCATCAAGAGGTGGTAAAAAAAATGCTTTGAAAAGTCTCTGACGATCCCAGCTGAGTTGCCTGATCGGCAGAGGCTTTTCAAAGCATTAGAAAAAATGCTTTGAAAAGTAAAAAAACAAACAAACAAAAAAAGATTGGCCACACCCACCCAGTCACATTACCCACCCACCCACCAAGCCACGCCCACAGAACCGGTAGTAACAAATTTTACATTTCACCCCTGCCTTATCCTCAACCTAGAACCGCCCCCTATTTTGGATGAGAGGGCAGGAACGGACTGCCCAGAACCGCACCTGTTTATAAGATAGAAGGAGCAGATCCAGAAAGTCTAAATGACACTTGTTTTACAGAAGAGTGCAGATGATGCTCACAGCCTAGAACCACTGGTTTTATAAAGGAACGGGGACCTCATCCTCAGCCTAGAACCATCCCTATTTTTGATGAGGGGGCAGGAATGGACTGTCTAGAGCCGTAATGGTGAACCTATGGCACGCGTGCCACAGGTAACACACGGAGCCATATCTGTGGCCACATCAGTGTTGCCCTAGCTCAGCTCCAGCGCACATGCGCATGCTGCCCAGCTGATTTTCGGGCCTTCCGGGCCACCGGAAGTCAAGAAATGGGTTGTTTCTGGCCTCTGGGGAGGTGGGGAAGGCTGTTTTTGACCTCCCCAGACGCCTAGAAAGCCTCTGGAGACTGGGGAGGCTGAAATATGGGCCTACCAGGCCCACCGTGCCATCGCGTGCCAAACGCGGGGGGGGAGCATGGGGGGGGGTTATGCACATGCACGACATCCCCGCGCTCTCCCCCCGCTTTTGGCACACGATGGCAAAAAGGTTAGCCGTCACTGGTCTAGAGCCACATCTGTTTATGAGATGCAAGGGGCAGTCTAAAGGACACTTGTTTTACAGAAGGAAGCCGATAATGCTCACAGTCTAGGACCAGGGGGTGGGCTGCTGGGGGTTCGCAGCTGTTTGGGAGAACCTTTAGTTAAGATTCTGTGTAGTTCTGAGAACCCCCCAAATCCCACTCCTGGCTGGCCCCGCCCACCCCTCCCTTCTGAGAAAGTCCCCACATGGCTCGTTTTGGATGCAGGTAAGTGCAGGGCGTGCATGGAGGCTCCGGGAGGGTGAAAAACAGGCCTACCGGAAGTTTGGGAAAGCCAGAAACGGGCCCGTTTCCAGCCTCCAGAGGGCCTCCGGAGCCTGGGGAGGCCGTTTTCGCCTTCCCTGAGGCTCCAGGAAAGCCTCTGGAGTCCGGGGAGGGCAAAACCGCCCCCCCCCTCGGCCGTGATGCAGGAAACTGACTAGGCCATGCCCACCCAGCAACCAGGCAGAGAACCCCTTGCTAACATTTTTGAAGCCCACCCCTGCCTCGAACCACCTGTTTTATGGAGGAATGAGGACAATACCCTCCGTCTAGAACCACCTGTTTTCCAGATGAATAAGGCAAGTAACTGCACTCTTATTTACTCTCTCCAGACAAAATGTGGAAGAAAAATAATCTAGAGAAAATAGCTATGGGCCATGAGTGGGATGGGGGGGGGAGGGGCAGGACCAGGGTGGATTTGATTTAAATCGAGTTGATTTAAGTCACAATTTAAATCATGATTTAAATCACTAGTAAAAAGGCTTGATTTAAATCAACTCGATTTAAATCATAATTTTTAAAGAGCAACTGTCATCTCTGCTACTCCTTTGACCCGCTGTTGACTCACCGACAGTCCCAGTGTTGCAGAATATACAGCCTCCTGCTACATAACTCAGCTCCATTTCATGCTGAATAAACTAAATTATTTATGCATCTTAAATAGAAAACTATCTTACGATAGATTTTTACCCCCATAGTTTTTTATTAAAATAAATTCGATAAAAATCAAAAAAATCCGATTTAAATCAAAAAAATCTGATTTAAATCAAAAAAATCTGATTTTTTTGATTTTTTTTTTTAAAATATTGATTTTTATCCACCCTGGGCGGGACACTGGACTGCTGCAGATCAGACTGTTCCAACTTTGAAATCTAGTTTGTAGCACGGCAGACGAAATGACGTGCTTGGTTTTTGGTCGCCCCGTCTTGTCTAGAGCCCCGAGCAACCACAGACAGCTTGGATGCTCAGCGCTCACATGCTTATTAGGCAGTTTGAAGCATCACCCAGCCCTCCTCATGACAATGAATGAAGTCATCCGAAAACACCAAAAGCCGAAGAGTAAATTAGGCACCACGGAGTAAGTAAGGAAGCCGGATGATCTAAGAGTGGTGCAATTTGTGTAGCTCCAAGCGATATGCTCACCCTTCTGGGTGCACGCTTGAGGATGAAACAGACACGACGATGTGCCCAAGCTGATAATTAAATGCACAGAGCGAGAATCAGCTCCGCTTTGACGTCAAACGTTTTTGCTCAAACCCTCCGGGACTTACCGGCTCCCAAACCAAGAATGACATATAGAGATTCTTCCAAGCTGAGGTCTTTAGTGTTTCACACCTACAGACAGACTCTTGCCAAACTGAAGCAGCTTATTATCTACCTCGAGCATATACAGGTAGTCCTTGACTTACAACTGTTCCTTTGGGTCTGTTTAAAATCTCAAACAGAGCTGAAAAAAGTGACCGATGACCGTTTTCCACTCTTACAACTGCTGCAGCATCCCGATTAAAATTCAGACGTCTGGCAACTGATTCATATTTATGACGGGCGCGGTGTCGTGGAGTCACGCGATCTCCTTTTGCACAAAGTTCTGACAGGCGAAGTCAAGGGGGAAAGCCAGATTTCACTGAGCAACCATGTTAATAACTTAACGACGGCAAGGGTTCGCTTAACAACGGTGGCAAGAAAAGTGGTAAAATGGGGGTGGGGGAAACTTACTTAACAACTGTCCTGCTTAGCAACAGAAATTTTGGACTCAATTGTGGTTGTAATAAGCCGAGGATCACCTATACTTTGGGAACTATTAGGGAGGAGTTGTCTTCACCCTCTTTCTCTCACATATGATATCTGGGCTTAGTTGCCTCTTACTCCTCTGGAATGCAGCCCCTCCCTCCTGGGAATCCACCTCCTCCCTATGTTGCATCACAAGGATGGCTTGTGTGTGTCCAGAATTCCTCTCGCAGAAGTCCCCTTTCCACCTTGTGAAATCTCACATTACGTCAAAAGTTATTCCAGCCAGGTCAGCTTTGCCAGAGACAGGTTGTGCTACTTTTGCATTATTTCTCATGTTGCAACGGTTTGATCATGTAGTAACTCATGAGGAATTTGCAATTCAGCGTCAACATTTGGAAGGGCTTTGAGAATTCATCCAAAGTTTCTTGGGAGGGGGAAAGGGGGAGAGAAAATAGGGTTCTGGGGCTGTTGCACACTCTTTCTGTACTTCAGGAAATTGAGTGCTGTCTTCTTTTGAGCTATTTGTTGCCCTATTTTGAACTACTCAAAATTTCCGCTACTGGTTCTCCAGAACTGGTCAGAACCTGCTGAAACCCACCTCTGCTCTCAGCCCACACCTGCCTTCTGGAGGCCAAAGAGGCCAAAAATTGGATGCGTGGAGGCCCTGGGTTTTGGCCTCCCCAGCTTAGAGAGAGAGGGGGGAGAGGGAGAGGGAGAGGGAGGGAGAGACATACACACACGCAATCAGAAGTCCCTCACTCCCCTCCCCCAAAGCAGCCACATCCAGGGGTGAAATTTCCACTACCGGTTCTCCAGAACCTGTTAGAACCTGCTGCATTTCAGCAGGTTCTAACAGGTTTTGGAGAACTGGTAGCGGAAATTTTGAGTAGTTCGGAGAACCGGCAAATACCACCTCTGGCTGGCCCCAGAGTGGGGTGGGAATGGAGATTTTGCAATATACTTCCCCCAGGAGTGGAGAGGGAATAGAGATTTTGCAGTATCCTTCCCCTGGAGTGGGGTGGGAATGGAGATTTTGCAATATACTTCCCCCAGGAGTGGAGAGGGAATAGAGATTTTGCAGTATCCTTCCCCTGGAGTGGGGTGGGAATGGAGATTTTGCAATATCCTTCTCCTGCCACGCCCACCAAGCCACGCCCACAGAACCGGTAGGGAAAAATTTTAGATTTCACCCACCCCTGGCCACATCCCTTCACTAACCTGCTTTCCACCCCCAGGACATAACAAATTAAAGTTTAATTCGTGTCTATTGTTTAATGGACTGCTAAATTGGCCACGCCCACCCAGTCACACGACCACCTAGCCCCACCCACCCAGTCACATGACCACCTAGCCATGCCCACCCAGCAGGTCCCCCAACAGTCTGAGGGACCGTGAATTGGCCCCCCGTTTAAAAAGTTTGAGGACCCCTGCTGTACAATATAAAAGTTAAAAGATTCTTCTGTCTCCAGACACTTACCAAAATTGAATGTTTTCGATCCGGGCAATTTTTCCCACTCTCTGGATGATGTGTTTTTTCCAAGTTTCCAAACTGGACCTCCGAAGGAATTTCATATCCCATTCCTGAGTAGTCTGACACCATGTTTCTTGGCATCCCACCTTAGAAAATATATCCTTTTTTTTTTTTTGTAAGGTTGTCTCTTTCTCATACGATGTGAAACACTCGCGAATCTCGAGCAGAGGTTTTCAATCGTTTTTCCCCCTCAGTCGTTCTGCAAAAAAAAAAAAAAAAAAAGGAGAGAAGGAAGAGGAGAGAAAGTTCATTAAATTGAAAACAAAACTCCCGACGTGTACTATTCTGAAATGAAATTATGACTGACTTTAATAGAGTATTGTGAGTCACACAGATCAACAAACTGTGTTTCCTTCCCCTCTGGATGCTTCTCCATCTGATTTAACTCACAGACACATACATCAAACAACAGACCGAGATATCCCTGAAGGGGTTTTTTTTTTTTTGGTTAATAATTGTGCCCTGCAGGCACTCAGATTCAATCAGCAATCCTGTTTATTAGCAATGCTCTATTTACCTCAATGGATGCTCGAAGCATTCAAAGAATATTATAAACTCATTAATTGAATCGCTTGCTCAGAATGCAGGGACGGAGTAAAATAAAGAACGAGAGATATCGGTTTAAGCTTCCTAACAGCAAAGCAGCAGGAGGGAAACTAATGACCAAGTTTCAATAATTTGTAAAGATTGGAGAACAAATCTAAAATTTGTTACTACCGGTTCTGTGGGCGTGGCTTGGTGGGAGGGGTTAATGTGACTGGGTGGGCGTGGCCAATATTTTTTTTTACTTTTAAAACCATTTTTTCTACAACCTCGAAGAGGTTGTAAAAAAATGCTTTCAAAAGGCTCTGACGATCCAAGCTGAGTTGCCTGATCGGCAGAGGCTTTTTTTCTTTTAAATGCCTCTGACGATCCAAGCTGAGTTGCCTGATCAGCAGAGGCTCTTTTTTTTCTTTTAAAAGCCTTTGACGATCCCAGTTGAACCGCACGATCATCAGAGGCTTTTTTCCCCTACTTTTAAAAGCATTTTTTCGGCAGAAGAGGTTGTAGAAAAAATGCTCTTAAAAGTAAAAAAAAAAAAGCCTCTGATGATTGTGCGGCTCAGCTGGGCATGTGGGGGGAGGCCAAGGATTTTTGCTACCGGTTCTCTGAACCACCCGCCTCGATTGCTACCGGATCGGGCGATCCGGTCCAAACTGGGAGCATTTCACCCCTGGTTAACCCCAAGGTGTCTCCCAGGGATGGGGTCAAAACAGCCAAAATGTTGACAACAATCACATGATCATCTTCAAATGTGTGACCATCCTCTTGACTTTAGGAACTGTTCTTTTGTGGACGGTGTTAGTTAGACCACGTTTGTGGGTTTGTAACATAAGAATTGACTAACACCATGATGGCAAACCTAGGGCATGTTCAGCTCTACCGCGCATGCGTGCGCACCTCCCGCTGGCTAGCTGGTCATCGAGTCTCTGCCATGCATGCACGGGGATGGGGCGTGTGGGGGGGCATGCGTGGATACACAGGGCCACAGGGTGCGTGCAGCGGGACGCGCATGCATGCAGGGGCGGGGTGCATGTGGGGGGACGTGCATGCACGGGGGTGGGGTGCATGTGCGGGGCGCACGCACGCATTGCATTTTTGGGGTTCGGGCACGCACGCGTGCATTTGTGCGTGCACCAGGGTGGATAAAAACCAATGATTTTTTTTAAAAAATCAAAAAAATCAGAATTTTTTGATTTAAATCAGATTTTTTTGATTTTTACTGAATTTATTTTAATAAAAAACTTTTGGGGTAAAAATCTATCGTAAAATAGTTTTCTATTTAAGATACATAAATAATTTAGTTTATTCAGCATGAAATGGAGCTTAGTTATGTAGCAGGAGGCTGTATATTCTGCAACACTGGGACTATCGGTGAGTCAACAGCGGGTCAAAGGAGTAGCAGAGATGACAGTTGCTCTTTAAAAATTATGATTTAAATCGAGTTGATTTAAATCAAGTCTTTTTACTAGTGATTTAAATCGACTCGATTTAAATCAAATCCACCCTGGCGTGCACACATGCTTTGGGTACTCGGTCCGGAAAAGGTTAACCATCAGTGGTCTACACAATAAAACAATTAAAAGCATCGGAAGATCTTTCGTTATTTTTACAAGGAGGTGCCTCTCAAGCCAGCTTATTCTTGTGAAACTGGTTCCTCCCTCTGACCTGGGTTTGGCCATTCCCACGTTATGAAACCCAGCCCACTTCCTAGATCAGAGGTCTTCAAACTTGGCAGCTTTAAGACTTGTGGACTTCAACTCCCAGCTATGCTGGCTGGAGAATTCTGGGAGTTGAAGTCCACAAGTCTTAAAGCTGCCAAGTTTGAAGACCTCTGTCCTAGATAGTCTATTTTGCTCTTAAAGCAGAAAAGCAGGGACATGTCAAAGGGGAAAGGGGTTGTTTCTATGGAGATTCTCAGTCATCCAGGTTACAGTGGTCCCAAAGGTGCTTTTTTCCAAAAGGCAACTGGACTTTCGTTTTTCCTAGAAGACATTTCGCTTCTCAACCAAGAAGCTTCTTCAGTTCCGGAAGAACAGAACTGAAGAAGCTTCTTGGATGAGAAGTGAAACATCTTCAAGGAAAAGACTTGCTTTTCTTTCTTGATCAACTTGCACATGAACTGCTTGTTGTGGTCCACGTGCAAAGAACGTCACTCCGTCACTGAAACAGGCTGTCGGAAGTTCTCCTCTTGACATTTAATCATATCCATAATTAAACGTATTGACCACAGAGCTTACACAGTGGGTACTCAGAAAGCTGTTATGGAAGGATGAGAGATCTCTGCAGGATTCCCCACTGCTCAGGTTAAACAGGGAGAGCTAATCCATGTCACTGGATCCAATTTAGAACTGGACACAATCCAACATCTCACTTGGGGGTGGGGTTGGCCTCATCTCAACAATTGCTTCTTCCATAATAAAAATAAGAATTTGTCAAATGTTTCAGCAGCCCCAAGCTTAACTTGTCTAGGCTCAGTAGATAAGATGTGCTAGCTAGGACTTGGAGAGGAGACTACCAGGCGATTCCATGGTGAGAAGGTAGATTACAGTAGTGATCAAAATTGTGGAAACCTTTTGGGAAAGAATTTATTTTCTAAAACCAGCTAATAACACCACTTTTTTTTTTTTGGAGCAGTACCATAAAATTATATATCAATGGAAAGATAATTTAATCAAGAATGTAATGCAATAACTTTTATGAAGGATTTGCTATTAGAACAGCAGTTACAGTATGAAGAAGAAAAGTGAGACACGTAGAAAAAATGAGATCTACAAAAATTATCACTATAGAAAAAATGAGATCTACAAAAATTATCACCATAGAAAAAACGAGATCTACAAAAATTATCACCATAGAAAAAAATGAGATCTACAAAAATTATCACCATGTCAGTTAATACTTAGTTGGGTAACCTTTAGCATGAATTACGGCCTTACCAAGTCCTCCCATAGAGTGAACCAAGTCTTTTAGTTCTGCAGGTGTTCTAATGTGAAACCAAGATTGAATGATGGCTTCTATTAACTGGGTTTTATTGCTGGGTCGCTTCTGACTAACAAGTTTCTTTAGTCGGCTCCATAGATTTTCAAGTGGGTTAAGATCTATTCCCAGGCCATTCCAGCAGTGGAATATGATTATCTTGAAACGCCCCCCCCCAAAAAAGTGGTGTTATTAGCCATCAAACCTCAAAAATACACTTTTCCCAAAAGGTTTCCACAATTTTGGCCACTACTGTATATTGTCGATGCAGAGTCTGGTTAGATTTGTCTGTAGGTGTGAAACAATTCTTCCGCTTGAAAGAATCACCATGTGTCATTCTTGGCTTCGGGCCTGACAGCTTGTTTTTTTTTTCTAGTGATGTTTTATTACCTTACTAGGTAACATCTTCACTGGTAGCAACCAATAGAAGAGAATATTTGTAGCTCAGGATTGAACTGTGGAGTTCTTGGTACTCTCTGAACTTGGGTTTTCTTGAAGATGTTACATTATCCAACTAGGTAATATCTTCAGAGATCCCAAAAATGCTTCTTCAAAGGGCAGCTGGATTTTTATTTTATTTTTTTGGTTTTTCCTTATTTTTGATTTTTATTTATTTATTTATTTAATTTTGATTTATATGCCGCCCTTCTCCGGAGACTCAGGGCGGCTTACAATGCGTTAAGCAATAGCCTTCATCCTTTTGTATATTTTATACAAAGTCAGCTTATTGCCCCCCACAATCCGGGTCGTCGTTTTACCTACCTTGGAAAGGATGGAAGGCTGAGTCAACCTTGAGCCTGGTGAGAATTGAACTCGCAGTAATTGCAGGCAGCTGGAAGCTAAATACTACCTTTAACAGTAGCATTAGTCTGCTGCGCCACTCAGGCTCCTTGAAGACATTTCGCTTCTCATTCAAGAAGTTCATTCAAAGTAAACTTCAGTTCTTCAGTACTGAAGAAGCTTCTTGGATGAGAAGCGAAACGTCTTCAAGGAAAAACGAAGGAAGTCCAGTTGCCTTTTGAAAAATCACCCTTGGGACAACCATGACCTGGATGACTGAGAATCGCCATAGACAGATTTCAGATGTTATCTTGTTGGGTAATGAAACATCTGTAGGTCAGATAACACCAAGGACTCTACAGATTACAGGGATATCCCAGAGCTGTAGGCTGGATGAGAAGTTGAAGAACTTTCTAGAACCAGGCTGGGGTAACCTACTATTGGCTTTCATGTCTAAGGTGGGACTAGAACTCACTGTCTCCTAGTAATTGGCCCAAAGTCATCGAGGCAGCTTTCATGCCTAACACAGAACTGGAACTCCTGTTCTCCTGGCCTCTAACCTGGTACCTTAACCACTAGACAAAATTGGCTGTCTTTTCTTGAGCATGATGATGGCTTGCCAAAATCCTACCTTTAAAGTTCAAACCCCAGTTTGAAACAAGTTTAATACATTCTCTGGTGTGGGAAGCGCCCCCCCCCCGAAAAATGAAATGTTTTAGGAAATATTAAAAAGAGTAAAGTATTATGAACATGTTTTTAGAGGCGGAAAGCAGCTCCCAGTCTTCCTTAACAGCCCACAGCAGATGCTACCATGTAAAGAGATAAAGAGCTTATTGAAAGAAGAAGCCAACTATCCAGATGGTTACATTCATAAGCAAAGCAAACACTGCAGGCAGAAAT